TGGATATCCTAAGGCCTCTGGGAGCAGCATCATCATCCCATGGGTGTTTACCCTCCAAGTGGAGCTGGGGTCAAACTCAGTAAATCCCCATTCACGAGCTCTCCCCTCATCCTGCTCACTGTATTCAGGAGCATATTGAGTTAGGGCCACAAGAGGGATGAGTGTGCCCTGGGTAGCAGAGCAGGCAGTGACTTTTGCCACGTGATCAGCTGCCCTGCTGCCCTCAGCTGTGTCCCCACCCTCCTGGTGGCCGGGACAATGCATCACGTCTTCCGCTGATGGTAAAGCTACTGCCTTCAGCAAGGCCAGGAATTCCAATGGGTGCTTCACGTCTTTGTTACTGGCAGTAAGGAGTCCTCGCTCCTTCCAAATGGCCCCATGCATGAGGAGAATCATGAAAGAGTCAGTAACTATATTGATGCATTGACCTTTAGACAGTTCCAAAGCACAGGTCAGGGCCATTAATTCAGCTTTCTGTGCTGATCTAACTGTGGGAAGGGCCTTGGTTTCTATGCTGTCCAGGAGTGTCATCACTGTGTATTCCACATATCGATGGTCCACGAAGCTGCTGCCATCTGTAAATAATTCCCATTCTGGATCTGGCAGAGGCTGGTCAGTCAGATCTGGTCGGCTGACATACACTGTTGCGATGGTTTCCAAACAGTTACGGAGTAAACTGTCACTTTCAGATCCATCAACATTGCTTGGGAGCAGTGTTGCGGGGTTCCAAGAATTAGAAGCCTGTAGTTTCACGTTAGGATTGTCTAACAAAGTTGCTTGGTATTTTCCCCATTCTCCCAGCAGTCAACCAGAGTCTGCCCTTTGCTCTAGTAATGTTAAAATCTGATGCAGCACATACACTGTAAGAGGGTGATCCAATGTAAATTTCTCTGCTTCAAAGAGGATGTCACAGGAGGCAACTGCAGCACGCAAACATGGAGGCCACCCCTTAGTGGTGTGGTCCAATAGTTTGGACAGACGTGCAACAGGCTGCATTTCTGGTCCCAAGAACTGGACCAGTGTTCCTAGGCCAACCCCTTGTCTCTCATGCACATAGAGTCTGAACCGATTTCTGAGATCTGGCAGCCCTAATACTGGAGCTGATATCAACTTACTCTTTATTCCATCAAAAGCTCTTTGACATTCTGGAGTCCAGCACAAAAATTCAGAGTGTAGGCCTTTGAGAGCATCAGATAAGAGTTTTGCTAGCAATCCAAAGTTAGGATTCAAATCCTGCAAAACCCAGCCATACCCAAAAGTAACATCTGGATCCACAGAGCTTGTTCTGGAGGCACCTGTAGATGAAATCTCTGATCTTGAGGTGAGAACGTAATTTGTGCATTCAGCTTACACAAAAAGTCATGACCATGTAGAGGAATTGGACACTCTTCCATGTGCCGGAAGCTGTGCTGGAGCTGAGTGGTGCCCAGCTGGCACTCCAGGGGCTGCAAGACAGCTTTCTGTTGCAGCCTTCCTGTAATCCCAGTGATTGGTACCATCTGCTTGCTCACTTTGTCAATTTAGAGTTCAAAACAGAGTATGTCATGCCAGTGTCTACCACAAAATCAGCCAGGTGGTCCCCTACATTGTTACCCAGGGCTCCCAGGACTTTTTGTTTTTAAGATTTATTTATTTATGCTTACAGAACTGGGGTACAGGCCAGAGGTGCAGGGGCAGCAAGCGGATTCACCAGAGATAGAGTGGGGAGCAGAACAGGCTGACTGACGAAGCACACTGCTGAGGGGAGCAGCGGGCGGGTCAGGAGAGGTCTGCTGTGCCGTGTGTGTCAGCTTCCTGGCCAGGGATTGAACTCCTGCTGCAGTGGCTGCTGAGACCTTCATAATGCGGTGCTTGAACCCGCTGTGCCACCAGGGAGAGCCCCTGGTTTTGTTTTTTTTTTTTAAATGGACCTTTTTAGATCTAGTGGAGCACTAGGGCCCCTCTATTGTTCATCTGAATCTCTCCTGTGCACTATCATTTGTCTTCTTTTGTCAGTAGTAGTCTCTTGATCTCTTCTGTCCTGTCCTATTCCCTCCTATCTTCATCTGAGCAGCTGCTCTCAACCGTAATTTGTCTCCTTTCCTCCCTCCTCAGTTCGATCCCTGCCACTCTGTCTATGTTCCTTCCTGTAACCTCTGCATGATTCATCACACTGAGGTGACACCGACCTTTTTTCTTGCCTCTGGTCATTACTACATCTCCTATTTACCTGTAAGCTGGGACAATTGTACTTCCAAGGTCCCTGCAGTAAGCACACTGATTTTTTTTCCCTAGAGGTTCACACCTCCTAGGTCTACCTGCCATTGTTACTATTTCTCTGAAACTCTGTTCTGTGTTGCCTCTGTACAAAACAGTCACAGGTTTAGGTATCCTTTCTTCTCTATTATTATAAACGCTAAACATCAGGTCTACTAATTGGCATGGGCTCATCTCTGTGATGCCATCCACCTTTGTTAACTTTCTCCTGATGTCTGGGGCATGACGCAGAATGAACCCCCGTGATCAGATGAGCATTTTCTGGGGCATCTGGATTTATATCCGTGTGAGTGGCATACATCTGGGTAATCAGCTCAAGGGACTCTGTTCAAACCTCAGAATTTTATTGAGGTTCTTTTTTTTTTTTTTTTGAGAATCCCCCACTGCAGCCCTACCAATAAGCACTTTTTTTTTTAAAAAAGATTTATTCATACAAAACTGGGGTACAGGCCAGAGAGCAATAAGCACTTTTTAATCTTTTTTAAAAAAAGATTTATTTATTTATGCTTACAGAACTGGAGTACAGGTTAGAGGGGCAGTGGTGGTGAGAAGCTTCACCAGAGACAGACTGGGGAGCAGAACACTGCTGAGGGGAGCAGCGGGTGGGTCAGGAGAGGTCTGCCGTGTCATGTGGGTCAGCTCCAGGGCAGGCGGGCATCGAACTCATGCTGAAGTGGCTTTAGCTTCTTAGTGTTGTGCTTTAACACGCTGCACCACCAAGGCGGGCTCCAATAAACACTTTTTATAGAGCTCCAGCATTTCCATTCCCCCTTCGTTGGGGTCCCAGGTGAGCTCTACCACCAGGACAGTCACCTCTGGTTCTGGGGATTCTACAGCCTGTTGGAGGAGACAATCAACCCTCTAGCTTTCTTGAAAACCATCCTCTGCTCATTCAAGGTCAATAGTTTGTAGCGTTGACTGAGTATCTCCCCATTTAGGATGGTGAGAGGAAGATAGAGGCAAACAAGTCTGCCATCCTCTTAAGGATTGTTCCTACCTGTAATAAGGGACAGAACTCCTCCAATTGAGGTCTGCAGTACTAAAAGGATGATGTGACGAAAAGTACCCAGCAGGTTGTCCTTGTGCATGTAAGCCACCCACCAGCCCTGCTTCAAGACAATTGTTATTGCCAAATTGGTTCGCCCGCCTAGTATGGGAAGGAAAGGTCATGTTAGTTTCTTCTCCAGAGGTCAGTGAAGGCTGTGAAGCCTTAGGAGTTCACAGGATCCTTAGGGGTGTCCACAGGAGGGGCATTGTCATGCAGAGGATTTCATCCTGAAGGGTTTAAGGTGTTCAATAGATAGGAAAGGCTCATCAATTCTCTGCCATAATTCTGGACCATATCTAATTTATGGAGGGCATCTGGTTTTGATGGAGTCAAAAGCAGTACGATTCTTTTTTTCATACTGTTAATAGCTGAATTAAGGACTTGTATTTGCTGTTGCATATTTTCAGTATGAGCCCAATTTTGCTGCATGCTCTCAGTTATAGTGAAGTAGAGCATCCACCTTTCACAGAGCCAAAAATTTAACTAATGATATTCACACAAAGTATCAAAAAGACACCCAGAAGCACAGACTGTAAAGTTGGGATGGCTTGTAAATCACCCCTGGATGAATACGAAAGCAAAATCATTTGCCATAAACCGGATTTCACCAGATTATTCATATTTATAAAACTGGTTGTAATATTTAAAGGAAAAAGGGTACTTAAATTTAAGGCCGGAAAAAAACTGAAGAACCCACGCTAGGGATAAAGTTGCTTAAACTCATGTTGCTCTACACAATGGAACACTGCACACACACATACACAAATTTCTCAAGACCTGAAACAAAGATGCCACAAGTCCTGCAGGCCTAAGGTGGTTAGGGTGACCAACACAAAGGAAGGTACTTTGGGCTGGTCAATCCCAGGTGTAATTTGGTCAACCACACTGGGCACCAAACTATTACAGGGGGTCCTCACCCTTGTGCTTAAGCTGCAACTGCGCCATATGCACGCACACACACAAAGATCAATAATGGGTTTGTTTACAGGGGAAAAAGAAAAGGACAACCCAGGGAAAGAGATGCAAGTTAACTAATGTGTCCTACCAGTTCTGCCGACTTGGAACCCCAATAGCTTGCTGAAAGCTGATCAAGAGCCAAGCAAACAGCTGCCGGCCATGAGGCCAAGAGAGACACTAAGCTCATGTCCGGCTTTATATCCCCCCAAAATCCAAACACATAATGGCTGCTTAACTCCACCCTCAGGTCCTCCCTTTGGTGTTGCTGGGATTTGTAGTTTCAGTGTCTGGATTCGGGGGTGGAGTTCTATAGAATTCATTCAGGACATCTTTTCCCCCTATCACCACCATCAACCACAACCACCAAGTATGTGCACCCCCCAGCCACAGTCACAAGCTAGGAATTTCACCACCCTCCTTAAAAGTGGAAAAAGAGGGACGGAGTCACCAGATAAAACACTCAAAACTCGCCACCATTCTCACATCCTCCTCCTCCTTACGGAAGATTGGCACAGTAAGTGCTTGACGTGGTCTGAATACCAGTCCTCTGCCACCCCAGAAGGAGCGCCCAGAAGAAATGCTGGCTAAGACACAGTGTTTGGTAAGTGTTCATAGCTGTCGCTAGGAAGCTACCTATTTTGGTGCAAACCCAAGACAAACTTCAGCACTTTGAAAGAGTTATGAGGAGATAAAAGTCACCATTTCTATGGAGTCTCCATAATAAAATATTAGACACCGCTTTGTTTATCAAAAGCATTTATTAGAAAATATTACACACTACACATCTGCTTGCACGTATTTTTTAGTAGACCATGTCCCACCCTCCTACACACACCGTCTCACAGGCCATAGGCAGCCACTGTGCTTCTGAGCCACACCTCTTGGATGGAACATTTGAGCATTACACAACTATGGCCATTGGAAGGCAGATAATGGAGAAAATATGGTAAAGACAAAAAAAAAATCACAACTTTTGGAATGTTAAAATCATAACTAGTCTTAAAATTCTAGACATCACTATAGCCCAGAATATTGGTCAACATGACTAGTAGGTTACAGGGACCAAGTTTTCAAAGGTTAATACTGAATTTTTTATAAATTAAGAGAATCCTATACCCCACAAAATGATTTTAAGTCTGTGCACATGCAAAAATTAATGTAAATTTCTGAAGAAAACAAAACAAAACAAAACAAGAATGGTGTATGTTAAGGCAATGAATTTGTTAATATGAAGCATGCACTTCCTAATACATTCTTAAATATTTCAGAGTTTAAAAGCTTGAATTCTCCAGAGACATTCTTTAGTAGCAATTTTAAATGCAGTCTAGCCATGAACCCAGCTGGATATGGAACAAGGAAAACACACTGGCTATTTTCAAGAAAAGCAGGGGTAATCCATGGCACTGCCAAGGGTGACTTGGGACTTAACTCCTGGCCACAGCACCTGGTTTGTTTTCTTCAAAACTTTTAAACATGTTTGCAAAAACTAAATGGTAGAAAGTAATTTTAAAATGTCATCTGACTTCCAAACATAACTGAAAGTTGTGATTAAATAGCTCAGGCACAGCAATTTGCTACAAAACGTTCAGTGTGAACCAGCCTGAAGAGAGATTGCAAGTTCACACATTGTTTCTAGAGTTCAAAACTGAAACAAACGAGGTGTGTATTGGTATAATTTAAAACTCTTAATTGTTGTAGAAGAAACAGATGTTCAGATTTCTTTCCCATAATAATCTAAACACAAATGTTAATCAAAAATATATATAAACCAGTAGAACACCATATTACAAATGCCCAAAAATGAAGAGTAAGATCAAAAACTGCTTGGATATATTTCTAATACTTTTCGTGGCCACACTCACAATCTAGTAAAGATTATGAATTAGCACAATCCTTAGCATCAACATTTCAAGGTTATTTTCCCTACCAAACAAAGCTAGCACCAGTAAAGTTATTATGCACATAAAATTAAGAGAGAACTTTTACCTCAGAAAAGCACAAGCCTACCGAGTATTGCTTTTGCTAATTTATCTCAGTCAGTCTCGCTGAGGCAGAAACTGATCTTTGAGCAGTTTTATTTTATCTGAGTAGCTTTCCAGTTATTTGGTATTGGCATTAAAATAATGGTAATACAGTATCTGAAACTTACCTTTTATAAAATACCCAGTACTTAATCCCCCACCCCCCTACCAAATCCCTAGTCCCTGAAAGCCTAGCCAAGATTCCTCTTCCTTCTCCAAACACAGATTTTAATGTCTAGAATTTTTTGCAATATGGGCAATGGCTACTGCATGGCCACCAAGTTAACAGACTCACTGTGGTAGCGCCGGGAGCTTTCTTTCTCAAAAGGGAAAGCGCTCAGGTACTTGAGCAACAGTCTGAGAGGCGGAGAGTCTTTGCTGCTACATCCTGGCCAGGGAAGAGGGGCCACGGCCCTCAACCACTCCCCAGAAACACAGCGCCTCCTGTCTGTGGCCACTGCACTAGGGAGGACCTTAGTGCCTAGAAGGCCAGCTTCATCCAGATCAGTCTTCTAAGATTCAAGACTTCAGACTGCCCAAGTCAGAAATCTAGCAAATCAAATTGCTTCATCTTAACTGGGGGAAAAAAAGGCACAAAAGAAAAACAAGCAGCATAACCTTTATTTGGTGATACAATAGGTGAAGAGTGTCCCAAAGTGTCTAAAAACACTGAATTCTTCCATGTGATAGTCTGTTCTCTAACTAAGCAATTTATTCAGATGTGTGCTTTATAAACATACACATTAGGAACCCTGCGATTGTTATGTTGTTATTAGAAGTATTTTTCATGGTAATACATTATTTACTTTCTAAAATTAAAGGGAAAAATCATAAGATCATACTTTATTTTCAGTCTGACAGAATAAATGTATTATATATCTCTCTTCCAAAGCCAGTGCACTTAGAAATCTTTCATTTATGCACTACATTGTTCAAATCAACACGCTGCACAGCTCCCAGCATCCACCCTAGAACAATCCTAATAAAAACACACAATCCTTAACCCCTTTACTTGCTCTTGGATTTGTTTTTATTGGGGGAGGGGAAGGAAAGATATAGAAGTTGCAGTGCAGAACTATATTTATTTAGAACAAAACATTATATCCTACATTAAAAAAAATAATTTTATCAAAACCAAATTTCAATCACAGTTATGTATGATTTTCAGTTAAAGGTACATTTTGAAATTGCACTTTGCAGAAATCTTGACAATGTCCTTTACAGTGCTCCCCACTTCAGCCTATGTTTTTCTCAGTAGATACAGGTTCTTCCAGAGCTTTCTTTTGGCTTCCCTTCCGCGAATATTTGTATTTGTCCACGTAGGCTTTAACTAGATTTGCCACTTTAGTAGAATTTACTTCTCCACTCTTACTATGGCAAACCTATGAAAAAAGGAGGGGGAATATTGTTTTTCATACTCAAAAGAGATTAAAGTTAAATGGTAAGCTTTGTGAACAAGGAGTTAAGTCCAGAGAAATGACCAGAACATTTTTACATCTCATATGAACTTATTCAAAAGTAAAAAAGCAGCAGCTAGCTCTTCTTTCTTAAGTGACTTTCTTTTAATTAAAACAAATGGTTCAAAACAAACCCCCCCCCCCTCCAACAGGACTTACTTTATCTACTGCTTTGCGTACAATCTCTTTATATTCTTCCTTGGTGATATCTTTATTTTGGTAAAATGGCTTAATAGCCAGTTTTACCTCCTGTGCTGCTTTTTCTTGAATTTGTAATTTCTGATGAAAGGAAAATGTAAAATTATTATTTGCCCATCAAATGTTTAAAAAAGAAAAAAATGAAACTGGGAAACACCATGCATTTATACATATTGAAGGGAATTATTTAAATATTAATGTCATAAAAACAAAATAGTTACACGCTAACACCCATAACATATTTCTAAAATAAATTAAGGAACTCACTGGACATTAACATATCCAGATAGAACCTTTAAATAACACTGGTATTTAAGATTATCAATAATAAATTCCCTTTGCCACTTGTACAATGGAAAGTTGGTATTTTTCTTTATCATATACAGAATTATGTAGGTTGCTCTCAACTTTGAACTTGCCTTGTCTGTCTTCGAGCTATCTGCGCTGGCTTCCACTGTAACACTTACTTTGCTTTCTGCCAATTTTACAGCAGCATTAGAGGTTTTGCTGTGACTTGATGACGCAGTATTACCAGAACTTGGTCCCTGAACCGTCCCCATATTTCCTGGGGCTGCTGTTGGAGCAGGTAAGACTGGTGTGCTCATGTTATTACTTACATGAGGTGCACTAGGAATACCCTGTTGGAAAGAGTTATCAGTTAATGAATTAGCTATTGGCACTCAATGGAAAAAAAGAGTTTTAGGAACATAGTAGAAGTAACTTAAAAAAAAAAATCAGTGATTTTTCTTATTGAGGGGTGAAAGGTGTGGGGTAGGACAGTGAGAGATGGGTTATGAGGCTTTGTCACAAACATAATCAAGTGAATAGTCATCTGTGGATGCCAGAAGCCCTTTCTGAACAGCTGTCCCCAAGAGTCAGCGTCTACAGAGGCTGGGCTGACTATACCTGAATCACTCAGGACATACCTGCAGTTGCTTTCCCTCTGGCTGTGAAGCGACGTAGCTGACTTGCTGGGAGGGTGGGGGTGGGGGTGGGGGCGGGGGCAGTCCCTGAGATACACTGGTGGGAGCCGCGACCTGCACGAGCGGCACGCCAGTGTGCAGGTGCAGGGGCAGCTGAGGATGCATGGTGAATGGGCTTCGTTGCATGTTCATCAAAGGGGCATGAACACCCACTGGGTATGGGAAGATATTCATAGGCTGGTGCTGGGCATTCATTTGCTGCTGCATTACATTCATCTGCGGCTGCATCATATTCATAGGTAGTTGAGAACCGTCACTTTGTTGGTTTGTTTGGTCTTTTAGGTCAGAATCTGTCAAAAATAAAAAAGGCTTGTGAAAAAAAGCACATCACAAATTTATTTAGACAGGAAAGCAAAGAACAACTGGTTCAAATAAAATTAAATACCAATTAAGACTCAGAACACCAAAACCAATATTCAAGTATTTCATTTTGCCATTTCTAAATAATGTGGATTGATTTTTTTTTTTACTGAAAGAAAATGTTCAACAAAAATTATTTTTAAGGACAAGTTCATATAACATCTGTCAACAGTGGCAGAGAATCAGCAGCTGGTCAATAACTAAATAGTTAAAGAAATAATCATAACATTTATCTAGCTTACTAAACTAGCTTAATCAATTTTTTATCTCCAACAGCTTTTTCCTGTATAAGAACATCCCAAATTCTTCTGCTGCAGCAAACTATACTTAAAATATTTAAATCTTTGGCAATGTTTGGGGCAGAAGCAGGATGAAAACAGGAATTAGATATTGACATGGATTTAAGTGTATGTGCAAGTAATTTCTATAATGCAAAATGACTTATAAATGGGTTCAATTCAGTGTTAGAAAACTATGAAGAGGGATCAGAATTTAAATGTATATTCATACAAATAAAACATCTAATTTATAATCCCTTCAAACAGAATGTTACCCTGTTCAGCTGTTTCATCCTCTTGTCTCATCCACCCGGCCTGTGGGCCCGCAGTGTTCCTCCCCCGGCGTGAGTAGTAGTTCTGTACATCTGCGGGCAGAGTCTTTCTGACGGCCCAACTGGACGCAGATGTCCACCCCGACCTGTCTGCTGGTGTGTCAAACGAGAACTCTTGCTCACTTTTCCGTTTATAGGGCTGCTGTTCCCCAAACTTGAAAGGCTCGTTCCCTGAACTATCTGAATTCCCTGAGAGGGGTTTTCGGTTATGCCACCGATTTTCATTCCGATCCGTGTAGGCAAAGCCGCCTCTGTAGGCACCTCTGCCACGGTTCCCTCTGCCACGATTAGACATCCACCCTGAACTGAAGTTTTTATTCCAAGAGTTCCCTGAATTTTCATTTCTATGTTCTTCCCAGTGAGAATCTTTTGACTTGTCTGGATTTCTGGTTCTTGGATCAGGCCCAGAATTTATTTTTTCTGTTACCCACGTGGGACAGTCATTTCTACGTTTGTCAGCAGAGTTTGGATCATCAGCATCTGGGCTGATGTCATTTTTTTCTTTCCTTGTATTTTCATTCTGCTTCTCCGTGTCACTCTTTCTGTACCGATCACTTCCTCGTGGACACCTCCAACTATCATTTGCCCATCTTTCCTTCCACCGAGGAGAATAACTATCTCTGTCATTTCTACCAAATGATGAACTCTTACTTTTGGTTCTAGATCTTGATGGTGACCGAGAACGAGACCTGGATCTAGACCACCTCCTGGTTCTCCTTTCTCTATCCCGATCTCTTCTCTGCACATCCCGATCACTTTCTCTGTCTCTGCTCCGGGACCTAGATTTTTCTCTCGGGGAGGCATCTTTCACTCCTGACTGTGATCTTCTGTTCTCTCTAGAAGTGTCTCCTTTGGGGGAGAGCGATTCAGATCGCCTGCCTTCCCTAGTACTATCTCTTTTTGGAGATCGAGATTGAGATCGTCTCCTATCTCTTGCAATATCCTTTTTTGGGGACTGAGAACGAGATTTTCTCCTCCCTCTTGTAGACTCTTTCTTGGGAGATGGTGATCGAGACTTCCTGCTTTCTTTTCCTGTTTCTCTTTTGGGTGATGGAGACTGAGAACGCTTCTTCTCCCGTCCAGTGTCTTTATTGGGTGACCAGGTTGTAGATGGAGAGTGAAATCTAGACCTTCTAGTACGAGGCTTTTTGGCTTTATCTACTGTATCTACAGGGCTTTCAGATGGTTGAGATACAGCTTCCACTTTCTCATGTGTAGGGTCAGAAGATAGCACAGTATTTGGAGAACTGTGTTCCACATGTTTCTCATCAGCATTTACAGGTGGCTCGATTTCAGACTCATTCTGATCACTGCAAAATGAATCACATTCCATTGGTATCATTTCAGTATTATCTTCGCCCAAATGCTTCAGAGTCTGTTCAGTCTGTGCACCAGGAACCTCAGCAGAACTGTCATGCTCAGTCAGTGATTTGGTATTGTCTTCTAGAGATTTGTCTAATTTTGTGTTACTTTTTAATGAGTTATTTTCAAGGTCTTGAATACTATCAAAATTTTCATTCCCCGAAGTATCACATGTTGCATTTACTTCTCTAGCTTCAGTTTCAATACACCCAAGCAACTGGACCTCTGTGCTTTCAATAGACCTTTTGTCTACTGTTTGTAAAAGTCCCCCCTCAGAGGATTCTAATTTGGGGTTCTCTACAAGCTGCTCTGTTTTTACTGTAGACTCTTTATGATCAATAATTTCCACCACAGGACCTTCTTTGACAGGTTCTTCATTAATCACTGACTCTCCATTCCCAGGAGAGTTGCTTAGGTTTGGTACAGGGTGCAATACTTCAATTTCAGATCCTGAACAGGCCAGAAAATCATTTGAAGGGTGATCTGTACCTGCATCTGCTTTTCCTTCTGATTCTGAAGGTTCAGATACGTGGTCTTGATTTTCTAATGAATCACCACTTCCTTTTTCTGAAATACTTTTAGAATTCTCACTTTCTAAACACAGAGCATTAGCTTCTATACTTGTGCCCTCAACATTCTGAATTTCTTCCTCCTCTCCAACTGGCATAGTAGTAACTTGTGCACAAGACTCAGCACATGAAGACTCGATTCCTTCTTGTGTATCAAGGGTCTTGGTATGTTCCTCACTTACTTCTGTTACTTCACTGCAATGTCTCAAGCCATTAGCAGACTCATTTTCTACATTTACGTGCACTGCAGTATTGCTCCTTTCTACATCTGATTGGTGCTCTTTCTCTAACACAGGTGGTGTGTCAGACTCTGCTGTTTCTTCATCTACTGAATCACTGGAAGAGGATTTATCAGGGGGTGGCACAGAACTCCGAAGTTTCTTTTTCAGTAAAGGTGGCTTTCTTCCTCTTCTTACAGACTTCCGTTTTGGAGCTTGTCTTGTTTGCTTTTCTGACTCAGCTGAAGAGGAAACACTTACAGATGTACTATTGTCTGGGGCATCACACCCAGAATTATTTGACACTGGAGATCTCTGAGATTGGCTGACTGCTTCGGCTCTCGTGTTACGTGTAGATCTCCTTGTGGGAGTTGCTGCTGTAGGTTTTCGTCTTGATCCTCTCGTGTTTGATGTACCAGAAGCTTGCTTCTTCTCTTCTCCTTCTTGAGCATGTGCTAATGCATATCCCTTGCAAGAGGTACCTAATAACATATATTTAAAAAAAAAGTTAAAACTGAAAGATATAATGGTATAAATATAACAGTTTGGCTTCAGTTTATTTTAACAGAAAGCAGACCTTTATATAGTGAAATACACTTATGAATAAATGCAAAACTACTAACATCTGAGTATTATCAGTTATTACCAGCTTCTTTTAGTGCTACTGAGAGGAGTTATCACAGATTTAAGTCTATGTGGACAATTTTATAGGGAAAAAAAAAAAGAAAATATGTTTGGACTGATAAATGCCATTTGCATTAAACTGGTGTTATCTAAGCAAAAGCAAGAGCAATTGGATGTGATCCACTAATAGATAATGACTCAAAACTATTTGTTCATAATTAACAAGAGATGTTCTTTCTAAAGACCTGAGTTTAGAAACTGACAAATTATATAGAAGGGAGACTTATTAATTTCTTGAAGACTTGCAGCTGTAATTTCTTAAAGTAAATGGAACTTTCCAGGTAGAACAAGTTTAAAATCAGATAACTGTCTGAATATTTATTGAAATATCTAGAACTTACAATCTAATCATTTTACAGCTTTTCTAAGTCATAATCACTTTTTTATGAGATTAGAAGATGCTTTAATCATTTTTTTACTAGAAAAATATTCCATAAACTTTACCAAAATTTTCTAAAGATATGGTACTTGTTGGAAAAATACTTCTTGGCAACACAGAAGAAATGAGAGGAAGGACTTCTGTTTCAATATTCCAGGGTATAAAGCCAATTCTGAAAATTGAAGAAAAAAAAATTTTTTTTTTTAGTTACACAGTATTAAAACATGAAACTAGCAATTTAAAATTATATAGTCTGGGGATTGGAGAATAAAATTATATAGTATTTCAAAGTTATTTTTTGCCCACATATGTAAACATTTCAATTTAAGGTTACTTATTGTTCAAAGACAAAACCTCTAAAAGCACATTTTTCTGACAAATTAACAGCAAAAGGCTATCAAATGAAACTTTACAGTTGTTTGTTTTTAAATAGTTTAATACTGTTAAGATTTTTAAAAATTTTTTGTTCCCTTATTCAGCATTCTAAAAAAATAACCACTTTGACAGTGACATGCACAGATTTCTAGCACACAGCCTGAGAGCTCTGACCAGTGTGTGTATCCATGCCACCACAGCTGCCAGGGCACAGGCATCACCAGCGAATGCCTTGCCTTCTCGCTCCTAGCGCTCCACCCCTTTCGCAAGCAAGTGATTTTTTCCTTGTATTATATATTAAAGCCCCTTCATCTAAGGATGACGGTTCTCCAAAGTTTCCAGCGTCTCTATGGACGCTTGACCCAAGAGTTTTTGCGTACAACCTAGTGTTAGTTTCTTCTTTTTTGGATTCATATGTGTTCAATTCACGTCTCCTGCCAAAAGACTGTCTCATCCAGTATAAAATGACATTCTGGTAAAGGAAGACAGAGCTTGAAAAACAATGCAACTTGTACATTTACAAAAATTTGAAACTCTAGGAAAAGTTTTCACAGTGTACATAGGTGGTCTTCCTAATTTTACTTCAATTTTTGCTTCAATGACATCTCTAGAGGGTAGTCCTATGCAGAACTACACTAGTAACATATAAAATAAAGTCACAGCATGTTATGAAACAAATATATAAAACTCAGACAGGGACCATGACCCTTTGGAAGGAACTTAAGACAAACTGGACACCATTACTAACAATGAATCTTTGCATGTACCTGCTCTCCCTTTTCAATGAATCAAATATCTACAAAGGGTTGTTTACTTTTCAAGGGATTCTTAAGTGACAATCTTCATTAGGCATTTATAACAGTTTAATTTGCACAGGTAGAGACGTTAAGTATTGAATAAAATACTTAAGTGTTAACGGTATCTTGTGCTCATGTTGGCAATGTATGAACACTTAAAATTTTTTTTACCTTCCAATTCCAGGTAATGTATCAGGAAACCATGACAATTCCAGTTCCTGTCTCTTCTGTCTAATTAATGCACTGATTTCATTGACTTCTATATATCCTGTACTAAAAGATAAGTTGTAGGCTTCCATCAGAATTAAAAAAATTAATCAGAGCAATAAGTGGGTTATATCATGGAGAGCAGAAGTTTCATAAATCACATTTAAAAAAGTAAGACTTTTTTTTCTATTTAAACACTTTCAAAATAAATTCATTACTTAAGTAAATTAATTTTCACACTACAAATCAGAATTATATTTATCTGATTAATAAAAATGTTTGAATTCTATCTTAAGTAGCAGAATTTTTCAAAAGTCAATTCAGATTAATATTCTTATTGAGAGTAGAAACATCACTCTGTTTCTTTCCCATGAACCTAGCTGCAACAGCTGTGGAAGAAATTATTGATGCAGTAGTTTCCTACTTGAAACTAAGCATGAGAAAAAAAAGAAAATGAAGATATGGTTACTGTAAGCAAAAACAGGCATAGTTTAGTTTTTCACAAAGTCTATTCAGATATAAGTGCTTTCTTTGGTACTATGTCAAATTCTAAAATTAGTCAAACAAACGTAATCTGTTGTTTGCTCAATCAATTTTAAAACCCAATTTAATTCTTAAGTTCCACAAATACCTATGTATGCCACTCACTGGACTAAAGAATGACTGGTCAAGGACCTCCCTTGTGCAGCAGAGATTAAGTCTCAGTGCCATCAAGCTATTACAATCAGCCACTGCAGCCTGAGTACAACCCCTGTCCAGGGAGCTGACCCACATGGTGCAGCAGGCCTCTCCTGTCTCGCCCGCTGCTCCCCTCAGCAGTGGATTTCACTAGATTTGCCTGTTCTACTCTCCATTCTGTTTCTGAGAAATCCTCTCATCCCTGTAATTTTGGAAACTGGGTGCTGTCTTTAATAGGGACTACTCCCTACAACTATAAAATAACCCCCTTTGGAGAAAATAATAATAATAATAATGATGAACAACTATATACCAGAGATATTTTATGGGGGTGGAGTGGGGAATGAGATAAAAAATGGTGGGGGGAAGGATATACACTGGAATATGGTGATGGCACACAAGTGATCTGGTGATGGGAAGCCCACAGGGATTACAACTGAGATGGAAAAAGGCACAAAATGATGTAGAAATAAACTATTATATTATTAAAAAAAAAAAAAGTAGCCCCCTTTTCTGTCCCACACAAAGTTAGTATGTAACAACTTACTATTAGTGAAAACAAAGCCTTCTACATAGGCAGTCACTTATAATTAGGGGGCTCACAAAATTAAGATTTTCTGTCAAACTTGTTTTACCAAAAGAAAACAAATACCAAAAACACAAGACAAACTTTCATGTTTGTTGAACCAGAGTTTAAATAGCTACCAAGGTTTAATTATAATGATTAAACCATAAGGTATAAAAAGAACAGATCAAAAGTAGGAAGTACTAACCAATAAGCTCCACAGGCAAAAGAGGATTCGCCAGTGTGACTACTAGAAGAAAACATACTGGAGAAAAAGTTTCTGAAGCACTGCCTTGTACATTGATTTGATCTTCGAGGCTAGAAAAGCAGAAGAGGTTAGTTAGTGAAACTGCAAAAAGAAAAACCTCTTTCACAGGTGGGTAAGTTACATTGAAATATTTTGATATACCTAAGGCTCTACAGTGATGCACTAAGCAACTGTGAAGTGTTACTAAGAAAAAGATTTTTCTCTATTTCAACAAACCTTATTTGTTCTTATTGTTGCATTTTTCTTTCTTCCCATTTCACTGTATTTAAAGTTTCCTGTACAAAGACACAAAAAGACCAGGTTACTTTCTCTTAATTTTTAATTTTAAAAGGTTGGGAGCCAGTACTGATACTGCCATGTTGACAAGATAAGTTAAAATCTGTAGAAAATTTGCATTAAAACAGTACTTTTCAAATGACTATTTTATCCTTTCTTGTTAAGTCATAAGTATAAAGAAACTGTAAGAGAGATCACAAAAAAGGTAACTCAGAATACTTGAGAAATGATATTTTAGTTAACGATTCCTGGCACCTTTTGCAAACTTACACTATTACCTTGTAAGAAAAAGTGTATTTTGCAAGAAGTCAAATTATTTAGTATCAATAATGCACTTAATATTTCCTTTCTTTCTATGACTTACTGTGCACACAGAGGACTTAATGGAGCTTGGACTATCAGCCCTGTAAACTGTTATTACCGCCTGACCACCATCACCAACCACAAGTACCTTGTCTATCTCCTCCGACAATTAGGAAAAGGCTTGATTAAGACTACTTTGTTACAGCAATGTTTCTAGCTTTACTGTTTATGTTCTTTGTTATTTTACCTGTCCCATCTGGAAGTTTTTCCATAGACATATACTTCTAGGTTAAGGAAGATAAAAGACAGTGTCTCTAGCTATACAAATTGTGTGAAATTTTTCTTAAATTTTTTTTTTGTGTGTAGACACGGGTACAGGGGTAGAGGACAAGAGGACTCACCAGAGACAGAATGGGGGGCAGAATAGGCAGAATGACTGAAATCCATTGCTGAGGGGAGCAGCAGGAGAGACAGGAGTGGTCTGCTGGGCCATGTGGGTCTGCTCCCGGGGCAGGGATCAAACTCAGGCTGTACTGGTGACAGCACTGAGACTCAACCCCTAAAGCCACCAACGAGGCTCCAACTGCATTACTTTGTTATAGATTACTGCTCTTAGTTTTACTTTGTCATCAAGGCTATATCATTAATTAGCTCTAGTTATCAGTACATTATTGTCTACGGTAAACTGTAGGTATTATCTTTACTCTTAGTACAAACTATACAGTGTAAATGATAAACGTTCTTTTAATTCAACCTCACACCCCCACAAAGGTGTTCAAAATAAATCACCCGGACTAACTAGCAGGCCTGTTTCCTGCTACTGCAAGACCATATAAATTTGCGGTTTCTTCTGTCAGTCCAGTTGGTAACTTCCTACTTTCTACTTAAGAAACACTAATTTCCTTTTCAGTTACTATGCCACAGTTATTTGGTTTTATGCTGTTATCCTTCTTTCACACATATCTCACCAGAACTCTTATAACAAATGCAGTTTCAAATGTAGGGAAAGGAATTCTGTTTCTTTAAAAAAAAAAAAAAATCATTGATTTATGCATTTAGAACTGGGGTACAGGCCAGAGGTGCAGGGGCAGTGAGGGAGCAGAACAAGCAGCAGACTGATGAGCACACTGCTGAGGGGAGCAGTGGGCGAGTCAGGGGAGGTGTGCCATGTGGGTCAGCTCGCTGGCCAGGAATAAAACTCATGCTGAAGTGGCGGCGGCTAGCTTCGTAGTGCTATGCTGTAAACCCGTTGCGCCACCAGGGTGCTTCTAAACATTTAGTATATATTTTTAAAAATATGACATTTTAAAAAATGCTTAAAAGTGATAATGGGCCTTCCCTGGTGGTGCAACGGGTTAAGGTGCAGCACCATGAAGCTTGCTGCAGCCGTTTCTCTGAGAGTTCGATCCCTAGCCAGGGAGGTGACCCACATAGCGTGGCAGACCTGACCTGCCCGCTGCTCCCCTCAGCAGTGTACTTCGTTGATCTGCCTGTTCTGCTCCCCACTCTGCCTCTGGTGAATCTTCTTACCACTCCTGTACCTCTGGCCTGTAGCTGAGGTCTGTATGCATAAATAAACAAAATCTTTAAAGAATATGTGACAAGTACACAGTAATATTCTTATAATAGTTACACCCTTCAGGGAGACACAGAACTCCTGTGTTATAGCTACAGGTGTCCTTTGCCCTGAGGGAGTTGAGTTGTTTACACTCATTCGATACTTGAGCATGTATTGTTCACACAGCATTCTTTCACTTGGAAGTCTATCTTAGGAAGTCATTTTAGATAAAATACTCTCCAGAGGAGGAACTGAGAATTTTCTGGCCACTGTTAAGTGTGAAAATCTAGTCTAAAAGCTACTTCATGTATTTCCTGGTAATTCTTTGATAATTATAATGAGTAGTTTGTCAGTCTCAAAATATTCAATACTGGTGAATTTGCCTAAGGGGTAGTTTCCTACAGCTCATTTTACAAATCTACCTCACTAGTCTATCTATCTTTGGACAGCAATGGCATGCCTTTCTGTTTAATTTCCATCAAGTTAATGCACATACAAACTATTTAGGAAATGAAAAAGTACTTCTAGGCTTTAAAAACAATTAGAAAAAAGCCCTACTCTTGACTCTCCCCAAAACAGTCATCAAACCCTTTAGTGGTTTCTTCTAATAGTTTATTCTACCTTAATTTTGTAGTTTTCAGGTATTTTTCCTTTCTTTAAAAAAAAAAGATTTATTTATGCATACAGAACTGGGGTACAGGCCAAAGGTGCAGGGGGTAAGAGGATTCACCAGAGACAGAGTGGGGAGCAGAACAGGCAGATTGACTGAAATACACTGCTGAGGGAAGCAGCTGGCGGGTCAGGAGAGATCTGCTGTGCCATGTGGGTCACCTTCCTGGCCAGGGATCAAACTCGTGCTGCAGTGGCTGCAGAGAGCTTCAAAGTGCTGGCTTTAACCCGTTGTACCACCAGGGAGGGCCTCAGGTATTTTCTAATGTCTAGTACCTCTAAACTAACTCCTGTGCTACCTCAACCCTAATTGCTTTTTTGATACATATTTTATATACCATGACATTATTGTAACAATATAAATATCATTCTCAGCTAAACCATATACTGGAGACTCCTTCTTGCATTTCCAAGGGTTTATGACTGCTTTGTTACTCCTTCTATTTTTTCCTTTATATTACCTATCATTACTTAAGCTAACTCTTCCTAACATACAGAAACATGTCAACTTTATCCATCAAGCTTGTCCCCATTTTAAAAAAAGATTTGCTTTTGCATAGAACTGGGGTGTAGGCCCGAGGTGTGGGGGTGTGAAGTTTCACCAAAACAAGAGTGGGGAGAAGAACAGGAGGACTGACTATTGAAATACACTGCTGAGGGGAGCAAAACAGGTGAGACAGAAGGGCAGACTGTCGTGACCACTATGGGTCAGCTCCCTCGCTGGGCAGCAAACTCAGACCACCGTGGTGGTAGCAATGTCCTCTAATTCTCCAGCTCTCAATTAGTGGGTATGGGGTTAAGAGATCATCTACAAGGTTCTGCTCTAAATCCTCCAACACCATGTGTTCATACCTTCACAATGACAACTGTGGAGCTGCTTGGTCAGTAAAAATCACACAGAACAAATGATAAAACTCAATTTCCTTTCGGCGATGCTGGACTATGAATAAGGGGTGTACAAAACAAGTCATAAAGACAAAAAGAAAGAAAACCTCAGGAGACAAAAAGCTTTAGATATTTCCTAACAGATACTTGACTAACCATCTATTTGGAATATCTTTACCGAATTTTTTCCTTAAAATGGTCCCATCATACCATATCCTAGTGAGAAAAGCTTTAATGGTACCTATTTGCACAGGAAATATGCAAAAATTTTAGTATTACTGGTCAAAACTCTTTCTGATGTTCTTCCTTTCCAATCTTACTTCTGATCATGTTCTTAAAAATTTTGCCTGAACTCAAACAAACGGGGAAAGAGATGACAACTGGAAGAAACCATCAAATTAACTTAGCAGATAAGCACAAGTACATACAACAACCTGAAATGATCAGCATTAAAATAATCTGAAGGTGAATAAATCTTATTTGTGTATGACATTCTGACACCTACATTCACTTTTCTTCAGTGTAACTCAGCTTGGCTGTAAAGTAGGTATCTTAACATGTTAAAAGAGAATTTATGATTATACCCGCCCAAACATTCTTTTAGCAGTCTTCCTCCGTCCCTCTGTAATTGGCAACTCCACTTTAACAAAGCTCAGATCAATACCTTACATTCAAACTTTGATTTTCCTCTTTCATTTACCCCAATCCAATATATCAGCAAATCCTGTTAATTCTGCCTATGAAATGCAGTATTTACAGAAATGAACTCTGGCCATCACCACCAAGTACCTTATTATCAGTCCAGGCAACCCTATCAAATCTCCTGGTCCTTCTAATAGACTTGCTGCCCTCCTATGATCTATTTTCCTGTAACAGCCAGAGTGAGTCTTTAAAAAAGTCAAATCTTATTACCCTTGAAAATATTTCTTATCTCACATGGGTCCTAACTGACCTCCTTAACAATGTCTTACTCTCCCTCTTTCTTTTTCTGAACACAATCAGTCTAGTCTTGTCGACCTCTGTGCTATTTCTAGAACATACCAAGAATGCTCTTGTCTCCTGACTTCTGCTTAGAACTCTTCCATGAGATATGTTTGCACTTTAATCTCTACCTTTTTTTTTAGACTGCTGTTTAAATATAATCTTGAAGAGGACTTCCCTGACCACCTGTGTAGGCTATCACTCCCTGTTATTCCTTTACTATGCTTTATTCTTTTCTAAAGCACTCATCACCACCTATCAAATTATACATTTATTTATCTTTTGTCTACAGATATTACACTCTGTCTCTTATTCAGTATTGTATCCCAAAGAGTCTAGAACTGTGTTTAGCAGTTTATTAAATGAACACATTTTTCTCATTTCAATTTTGCTCTCTTGGTGTGAACATCTCATACTGAGTATATATGTTAAGTGCAGATTTAGAATTTAAACCTGAGAAATTTTCATTAAATATAATGCCTAAATATAAACTATTTTATCAGGCACATAATGTATTTTCAGGAGGCAAAACTGGCTACACTGGATGTATTAAGTACCCAGGTCAAAAGCAATACCACAGAAAACCTAAATGGGCAATCAGCC